TAGGGTATTGTAAAGTTTCGTTCACGATCTCCTATAAATAGGATATAGCATAGCTTAAATACTCTACATTCTACTGTTTTGAACTCGTTTCGATGTTTCTTGAGTGAATAGTGAATTTCTTAATATTAGATGAAAACAGCGTGCATACCCTAATTTCCGTAAAACTGACTTTTCGGTTGATTTTTAAAAATTTTTCTCAAAACAAATATTGCCACGAGGCTCAGCATGGTCCATCACCCATAGTCCATCCGTCCTCAAGACCACCAATAGTCACCTTATTTGCATTCCCCTCACAGGGATAAAAACCTTTTACTCATTGCACTATAAGAGAAACTAGTTTGTTCTTCAATAGGTCGTCGAAGGAGAGACGAATGACTGAACGAAAAAAGACTCCTCATCTCGAGCAATGAGAAAAAAGTCAAGAGGGAAAACAAACATGGTTGGCTTTTCTTAATCAACAGGAAGATGGCATATGACGGACCTGCACAAGAAAAGGAAGTACCATTCACACAAGTGCCATCTTACAACTGATGACTAACGAAAAAGAAATATGCACTATCATGCAGTAGACAAGCTACATTCAAAGGCATCCTTAGAGGGAATAAAAACCGACTAGACGAAGAAGAGAAACAGCCTATGGATGAGAAAGAAACGATGGCGATACGCTGGCAGAGAAAATAAAGGAAGGAAGCAACACCGAAGAGAAGACGAAAATGATCAACTATTTATCGAGTGCAGCTGTCGAAAACAAATCTGTATCATGTTCCAGAAGTAAGAGGGAAGAAGATGTTTTTTCAACTTCCCTGCATTACTCAGGATAATACAGTCAGTTCTTGTGAAGAAACTCCGATTTCGTCAGGAAAAAACAAGCAGTTCGGGTGGAGAAACTGCAATTTATACTTATAGAAAAATGCTGAATAATAAATCTGAAACAGAAACACGAATTAGATGAGATTGAGAATACTAAAAAACGACACCTAGAACAAAACATGTAAGATTCATCATTCCAACATCATTTTGTCCTGTGTTAGAATATTCAGATGACTTAATCAATCGAACAATCACATCAACATCATCACCACCTGATTCACAAGGACGTCTCCGTACATTTGTGGGTACAAAAGAAGTCTGCAACCATTATAATGCCAGAATTTGTACTCGAAATCCTTGTCATTATCTTCATATTTGTGCTACATGTGAACAAAATCACCTCAGATTCCAGTGTCCTATGACCGCAAATACAACAACGACAATAGCACCACCATCACCAGCCTCATCGTAGTGATAACTATTATTCTTTGTTGAATACAGGCATCTTACCTTGGAACAGTACAAATCATCTCTAATTCGAGTTATATGTGCTACAGGGAATGTAGGAAATCAGGGAATGTGCACATTCCCTGGGGAATCTATACATTCCTTGACATTCGCAGGGAATGTGTACATTCCCTGACAACGTTCAGGGAATTTGAGTATATGACATCGAAATTTCTCTTGGAGTATAATAAATTCATGAATTATGTGATGTTTGATGTTAGAGCAGAGAAAAATCGTAAAATTTAGTGATCTACTATCCATTACAAAATAGGATGGAAAAAAGTATTTTTATAATAACCTTTTAAAAGAAAGAGTTAGAACTATGCGGTTTCCAGTATTTGATAGAAGACCTACTGAAAAAGAAATCTATGGAGAAATTAGGCCTTCCGATCAAGTCTAGCATGGTGCACCTTGTCGAACAAAATCTGAAAGCTCCCCATT